GTACAGGTCCTTCCTTTGTGGTGGATCTACTGGGCTGTTCATCTATAGCTACTGCTTGTATTATTACTATGCACGGTCAGATATGACGGGCTTCATGCAAACATCATTCTTCTTTGGATACATGGCGTGCATTTGCTACGGTTTCTTCCTCGTGCTGGGGACTGTTGGTTTCCGTGCTGCACTCTCTTTTGTTCGTCATATATACCACTCAATTAAGTGTGAGTAGCCAGTATTTGGATAGTCTTTCATGTTCTACATTGGCGATTAGAAAGGATGATTGTATAGAGCCATAGATTGTGCCATCATAAGATGGCACGGTTTATTTTTATTTTTTTTTACAATTTTGTTCTTTAAAACTAGAGGATTTATAGTATTAATTTAGTTTTATAGTTTTCTAAACTCAGCTTTTATGATTCTATAACCCAACTGACGAATGAGCTGATGAAGAGGGCATGTTGCAGTGTTGTCATGTGTGCTTTCTTTTCCTCAACAAATATGAAAATCATTACACGAGCATAGTATGGAACTAGACATTTGCTAAAAGGCTGATTCAATTACATTCATGCTAGAAGTATAGAACAGAATTAAGATGGGAAAATAAAAAATCGAAGATGCCAATGGTATCATCTTGGCCAACATGATGCCAAAAGATCGATTATCATCTGTCACATTTTGTTTGTACGTGAAAAAATAGCCTTCGTGTGGAAGATTCAACTGTAATTGAGAATGATCATTTAACTCTTGTAGTTGCTTCTTTTACTCCGCAACATTATCCGCAGAATTCACTTCCGATATGATCTTTTTAGTTCACATCTTGTCAACGCATTAATCTTCAGTTTTCTTGGTCCACTACCCACATTCCCTGATGAAGTTGTTGTAGAAGATAATCTAAAACTCACGTCGACTTTTGATTTATGCCGAAGCTCACAATCTTGTAGCGATTTTGAATCTTGTAATTCAATCCCATTTGCATGGATAACCAATCTTGTAACGGGGATTCCTTTAATACGATGGATTATCTCCTTCAACGTTTGGATTGTTTCTTTAACGTCCATTTCGAGCACCAGGAGGCAGTCTGACCCCAGTATGTTGACAAGGAGTTGGATCTTTGTTCGGGAAAATTCTCCGGCGATGAGCAGCTGAATGTGGGACTGGTCGAGGATATCCGAGTAGTGGACATTGAGTTGGTTCTGTAGGACGTTGCCTTTGAAAACTAGGGTTTGCAAGGATATGGGGATTCCCTTCACCTTTCGAATTTTCTCTTTGATTTCCATAACTGTGTCAAAGTAGCCCACTTCAATGCTAAACGGTATGCCTCGGCTTGGATGCAGGTGAATATCCATTACTGATCATTCACTGATTAGAGAGAGAGAGAGAGAGAGATGGTGGCGGTAGCCGTTTATTATAGTTATATTAGTTGTAACAGTACCCAGATTAGTTCAATTTGAGAATATTTTCCTTCGTTAAGACAAAGAGAAAAATAACGAAATATAAAAAAATAAAGAAATATATCGTAGAAAATAATACTTTTAAGCTTTAGGATACTCCATCACACTTTCCGTTCCAATTGTTTGAACAGAAGACTATTTAGATAAATATCGATAATGTACGAGGTCAATAACAAGTAATAAATATAGTTAGTAGAGTATCATTCTATATGAAATAAATTAAAATTCGAGTGTACTAATTTTCTATCGAATTCGAATTATTGTGACACAAAAAGAGGTTACGTTATGAAATTCTTCGCCCCGCTAAGAAATTCTTCCCCCGGTTACCCGTTTAAGGCGGGACGGGGCCTTTCCCCATTTAATTTTTTTTATTTTTTGATAA